ATTGATAATCATGCGATTCTATGAATACAGTAATTCTATTCTTCTCAGGACTCATTCAAATCTCCCTTGATCTCCAGCATTCCAGCTTTTCCATTATTATGTTTCACTGAGTCATCATCTTACGCAATTCTACGATTCCCTTTCATCAGGCAAAAAAACTGACTGAAATGAGTCATTCTAGAAAGGCTTACGCAGTTTTGCAGAAACAGCGCATAAACTCCGCATTAACATAGAAAGCGCACAATTCATTTCCTTGGCTAATGACAAACTCAGGAATGACGAAATCTTGCAGAAACTGCTTTCCGCGTTATCGTCGGTTGCCTAGAGTAATTTTAGCACACGGAAACGTTTGCCGATTTAGTCAATTACGTAATTTTGCAGAAATTTTCAGAACATCTACTTTTTGAACGCTCTGACCGAAAAAGTGTCTGTGTTTAATTATTATATAAGTGCAAACTTTGTGGAGCACTTGCTCAACTCACTTGAGCACAAAAATGCACAATCGACGCAAATTTGCACACTTTTATGCAGATGCTATAATAAATAATGTGCGGTTTTATATGCGCAGTTGGTTTTTCGCTGTGAACAGGTGAGAGAGCGAGGCGATGTCAACAATGGAAAAAAAAGCTCAGCATGCGCCTTTTGTATGTTTGCATTTTCGAGTCGGTGGCAGGGTAACTCGTCCAAACAATCTTCATCCCCGAACTCGAAAATCTCTTGAAAATTCTTGTTTTTTCGAGATTTATCAGCTGATTGTTGATCAAGACATCAGTAAGATCATTCTCGTCATTTCTATAGTTATTTCATCATTGCTCGATCTATCCGAGATTAGCGGTAAAGTCTCGTTCTATGATTTACGGCTACCGTAATACTCAACTGTTTCGCTGTCTGCGTCTCCTCAGTGCGTCACTCTCTCGTCGCCTCTGCTGACCACTGTGCGTTCTTTGGCCGCGCGCCAAGCCCGAAAACATCCTGTTACTTCCGCTTGTTCTCGTAGAAATTCCATGATCTGTGGAAGAGTAGTAGATCATATTGATCTACAGTATGCCAATCGATATCTTCTCTCGAGTCCTTTGAATGTGTGGCGATTTTTCCGTGATCGTAGTTCGCTCGATTTTTTTTCGCAATTTTTTGCACTATAAATTGAAAATTTTTCCTCTTTCTTTTCAGGAAGGTTCAATAGAATCCAAATCTAACCTGCACCATTTTCTAAACAAAACCATGGTGGAGGTCGAAAATGCACCACCCTATGATGTAATCATGAAAATTGGCGAAAATGATACTGAGGAGAAAGAACCTGAAGAGAAAGAAGAAATGGAAGAAGAATGCCCTGAAGAAGAGGAAGCGCTTCGTATAGCACTTGAAGCCGAAGACGATGATGAACTACTTGACGTTGAGTCGCCAGATATCGATGAAATGGTTAGTAGAAATTCTTGATCCTAATTAAGTAACACTTTGAAATCTGCGCAAAATCGCATTAATTTCTACGAAATTAGTGACATGGAGTAGCGCAAAATCGCGTCAAATTACGAAATTTCTCTTTTCAGGACGCTAGCGAAACATCGTCTTCAGCTGTAGATTCGTCACCACAAGCCGACGCAAGCGCTTCATCACCGAGAAATTTGGCGGCGATGATAATGACATCTGACACACCACAGACATCCACTTCGTCCGAGGTTGGTCTTTCTGGTAAAAAACGAACAAAAATCTACAAAAATGGTGAATCAGTCAAG